ACTAAAATTACATTCCATGTATTCAGTTTTAGTTCTACTTAAACGAAGGCCTTTGGACTCCAATATAGACCTCCATAATTCAAGAATTTTTTTAGACTAATCTTAAGAAATTTTATGAGATGAAAATATTAAATTTATGTTCTCGCCATACTTTAATTTTATTATTTTATCACCCTTCTTTCTAAAATTTAGTTCCTCCAGTCTTACTTGAGCACGATTAGATCAACGAACTATATCAGTATGTCAATTATAGTGCCGATTTAATCAGATGTTGTTTAGCTGGTGTTTGACAAGGACACAAAGTTTGAGATAATATTATTTATTAGAATACTATATTATCTTGCAATTTTTAAGATATGAGCAATAAAATTTAAAATGTATCGCTTAAGTTTATCATTTTAAGTAGATAATCACCGTAATCTTATTCAGTTTATATTCTCCATAAGAAAATAAATAATTAATTAACATGTTTGACCTCATTTCCAACAATCTGTGATTTAATATATATATATATATAAAAGAATGGTCAGAGACTATTATACGAGCTCACAACTACCCTCATGTGTCTAACTATTTGAGAACCGCCATCATTACCGGCAAACTAACCAGAGGGGGATTGAAACCCGTGATCTGAGGGACTTACGACCTTCAAAGAGACTGATTTACCAACAGATCACGGCTGACGACATATATTATATTATATATATTCATTATATTAAATTTATTAAATTATATAGGTTGTTTTCATTGTATTAAATTCATCCAAGTTTGGGAAAACTAGTTGTTTACTACGAATAATTAATACTCCCTTCGATTTATTCTCAAAAAAAAAAAAAACACTTCTTAACTAATTTTATATTATTTACTATTATAAATTTGAATGATTTAATAGCAACTTGATTGGCCAAATCTTACTATACAATATTGTACAGACTATTTTTTATTATGTTTTAGGTTGATGATGTTACATAAATAAATATCTTTTAATTTTGGTTTCATCCGGTTAATACAAAAATTAAAAATTTATTCATTATCCAAATGAAATTAAAATTTAAAATTTATTTAAATTTAAGGGCAATAAAAAATTTAATTAAATCTTATGTGTTATATTTGTGTTTAAATATTGTAATATATAATACCATCATCTTAAAAAATCATTAAGATGGGTTAAGCAATCACTAATTTCATTCACACCAATATAGAATCGATGTGTCAACATGATTGCTCATCTCTTCAACGCACCTCTGGATGAGTCCGAGAACGCCGTCGGAGTCGGGACGGTGGGCTCCTCGGAAGCCATAATGCTCGCCGGACTCGCCTTCAAGAGGCGGTGGCAGGAGAAGATGAGAGCTCGAGGGAAGCCCTGTGACAAGCCTAACATTGTCACTGGTGGCAATGTTCAGGTACTCATCATGTCATCCAAATCCATTAAACTTAACCATTCACAATATGCACACAATTCGTTTCCTAATTGGGTTAAAATGGTGATGGGTTTGGTTCTTCAGGTTTGCTGGAAGAAATTTGCCAGATATTTTGAGGTGGAATTGAAGGAAGTGAAGCTGAGAGATGGGTACTATGTTATGGATCCTCAGAAGGCCGTTGAGATGGTGGACGAGAATACAATATGTGTTGCTGCCATTTTGGGCTCTACTCTCAATGGAGAGTTTGAAGATGTAAAGCTGCTGAATGATCTGCTTATGAAGAAGAATAAGGAGACAGGGTATGTGCTTAATTATGAAATTATCAAATGTATAATAGATTGTAATTTTTATCTTCCACATCAACTATCTTGGCGCTGATCAGCCCACCTTCACTCTCAATTTCTCCAAAGGTATAATTTGATCCCCAACAAACCGAGCAGCACTAAATTTCGGCTAAGAGTTTAGCTCGAAAATTAATTCAAATTTTAACCTGGATCAAGATATGATCATAAAAAATGAGTCTAGCTACGAGCCAAAATTTTGGATCGATTTTTATTCTGGCTGACCCAAGTTCGACTCAAATTCGGATCGTTAGGGGATTTTAGGCTTCCCCTTGTTAAGAGTATTAACGTGAGCGGGCACAAGTACGGGCTTGTCTATGCCGGCATCGGCTGGGTTATTTGGAGGAGCAAGGAAGACCTGCCAGAAGAACTTATCTTCCACATCAACTATCTTGGCGCTGATCAGCCCACCTTCACTCTCAATTTCTCCAAAGGTATAATTTGATCCCCAACAAACCGAGCAGCACTAAATTTCGGCTAAGAGTTTAGCTCGAAAATTAATTCAAATTTTAACCTGGATAAAGAAATGATCTTAAAAAATGTATCAAGCTACGAGGCAAAATTTTGGATCGATTTTTATTCGGGCTGACCCCAGCTCGACTCAAATTCGGATCATTAGCAACCTTAGTGATGTTAGAGCTGTGAATTTAACGAATTTAGCTCGAAAATTGATTTGAATTTTAGCTCGGATTGAAATAAATAAGCCGAACTATGAGTCAAAATTTTTATCTAATTTTTTTTCTAGGCAACTCTAACTTAACTCGAAATCGAACGGTTAACAGCCTTACACCATAGGTTCATATATGCGGATTATTTATAATCCTTTGTGATCTTATAACTAATTCTCCACATTGGTGCAGGTTCGAGCCAGATCATTGCACAATACTATCAGTTAGTTCGCCTGGGCTTCGAGGTATATTCCAAATTCCAACCAATTAAATCTTTTAAAGTTCAATCAAAGCAAAAATTGGGCCATTTACCTACATTCCACCAAATTCCTATGTAATTACATATCTTATATTCCAAATTCCAACCAATTAAATCTTTTAAAGTCCAATCAAAGCAAAAATTGGGTCATTTACATACATGCCACCAAATTCCTATGTAATTACATATCTTACACCTAAACTTTTCCTTTTTATATTTATAACCCCTAAATCCTTCATATCACTTCCAAAATAACTCATAAAAAATACAACTTTTCATTCGTAAGTTTAAAAATGTAGTGGTGATTTCCCTTAATAACGCAGGGTTACAGGAGCATAATGAAAAACTGCCAGGAAAACGCCGCATTCCTCAAATCCAGCCTTGAAAAAACCGGCCGGTTTACAATCGTCTCCAAGAACCGGGGCGTCCCGCTCGTGGCCTTCTCCCTCAAAAACCGGAGCCGGCACGACGAATTCGAGGTCTCCGAATACCTCCGCCGGTTCGGCTGGATCGTTCCGGCCTACACGATGCCCCCCGACGCGCAGCACGTCACGGTTCTCCGCGTCGTCATCCGCGAGGATTTCAGCCGCACGCTCGCCGACCGACTTGTGCTCGACGTCCAGAAGGTTCTGCACGAGCTCGACGCTCTGCCATCCAAATTCCTCGCGATTGCAGCCGGCGATAAGGTGGCGGCGGAGAGGGCGCGCGCGAAGGGAGGTAAGGATGGGTTGATATTGGTGAAGAAGTCGGAGATGGAGGCGCAGAGGATGGTCGCGAATGCTAAAACGTGCAGGAATTTTGTTATCGCGCGTAAGACCAATGAGGTTTGCTGATTGGTTGATGAAAACGAGTTATTGAAGTTTTGATGCATGCATATTCAAATGTATGAAACCTGATGGTAATATCTATAAACTGTTGAGATCTAAGTTATTCAAGATGTGCTCAGATAAGTAGACCCTTGACTATAATTTTTCTATTTAATGACTTATAATAAATTTCAAATGTTGAGGGCTGCTGATTTTCTTTCTATCGGCAGTGTTTTAAATTTCTTTTTAATTTTAATATTGTTAAATTTCAGCTTCACTAATTTTCTCAGTTTCGTTGATTCGCTTTTTTCGTTGCTACATTTTCTTTTTTTGAAATATTGCATAAAAAATTAAGATTGAAAAAATTTGTCCCGAAGTTGAATCGGTAGAAGAGGAGATTTAAGCTTCACAATTTTAATCATTTTAATTATAAAAATATATTAAATAATAAAATCTGAAGGATAATATTCTTATATATTGATAAAAAGAGCAACTCGTGGCTTCTTAAACGTTAATTACAGTAAAAGCTACAGAGTTTGATGTTGAGATAGAGGTCCCCAACTACCTATAGGGTTCATGTTTCCGTATTACAACTCTACCAAAAAAAAGCCAAAATACATGAAGCAATTTTAAAACATGTGTACCCGCGAAGGAGTATATCCAAAAGTACCCATTAAGAAACCCAAAAACAAATAATAAAGCAAAGTAGCTCAGTGTCCAATCTAAAAAAGATATACAAACTAGTCCATTATGACATATTAAGTAGAAATATTGTTTCTTAAAATCTAAAAAAGATCAAGCAAATTTTGAGAAATTCTAAGAACATATGGGTATGTTTATGGACTCTACAAAAATACTTTCCTTTATGTAGAAATTTTGAGAAGTTCATAAAAATTATATAATAATACATTAGATTACAAGAGTGCAGAAAAAAAAAAAAGAGTATATAATAAGAGGAGAAAAGATTTTTTATTGGTTTAAATTTATAGACTTACTAATCATGTTATTTACATAAACATCAATAATAAAGTGTTATTTCTAAATGAAATGAAAATAATGAAGAGAAGGTTTTGTTGTCATTGTGAATTATCATGATCAGCTCAACTTTGACATTATCATTTTGATTTAAGAAAAATCTCTAGATGCTTGATATAAAGTCGAGCGTGGATATATATCTCAATCATGATCTAAATCACTCGAAAATTTTAAGAAAACTTCAATAGAATCAATTCTTAAGTTGTGTCTATTTTACTCTATTGTCAGGATTTTAACTATCTTGTGAAGAGCCTATAAACTATGATTTAGATTACATAACAACACTATGATAATCTGGACATTTTAATGATTGCTCTGAATAACGACTTGATGCAAGAGTAGTTTATTGAAGAATTTGATGATTCATTAATCCACTTATAAGACATTATTATTAATGCTGAATGCATATAACATTATTGACCACCAACATTCTGCTTATATTTCATTGTGCTATTTTTTTTTTTTTTGTAAGCACAAGTGTAGTTAAAACCATAAAATAACTTGTGGGTGAAGTAGAGGGGTGGTTCTCATTTCATCATGAGGCTTCCATAGTCAAGGAGCTATGGAGTGCCATCCCATCAATTTTCAATTTGAGGATGGGGCTATTACATATGTATAAAACAACAAAGTACTGTTTTGTGCTGAACAAATTGGGCAAAGAAGACAAACGAAGAAGAGATTTTGCAATAAAGAACTTTGATTTGAGAATAATTGAAAAGTCTGCAGACTGGCAATAAAGATAATTATTTTGAGACGACTAGCACTTACTTTAACAGAAAATTAAAGCCGTCTTTTAGGACCAAAAATGTCAGAGCCTGAGTTTTTCGTCACGGCAAATGGACCAATTTTGGTGAATCTCGGCAGAAATAAATTAATTTTCACAATTTGAAAATCAGTAAAAGCTAGAAGAAAATGATGTTCTTGCCGTTGATTTTGTTGCATGGAATATTCCTCTACGAAAATTGTCTTTGCAGGATAAAATATTGGTAAGAAAGTTGGCATTCATAAGGATGATAGTGATCATTATGAATAAAAAATTAGTGAGGATTAATCGTTTTAAAAATAAAGCTGAAATTTTATGAGAAATTAGACATATCAGATATGTATTAGAATGTTATGGACGCTTCGAGTTGGGCCAATGATGGGTTTATAAGGGCCTGTTTGTTTCGTCTATTCAAACCATGGTTTTGTCCAAACGCGGTTTCAAGCCGTTTGGCTCGCCTGCTTTTGAATGTCCGGCCCTGAATGTCAGTTTCACGTTTCTACAGTATCCCAAACGCGGAACTATAATGCAAGTCATCCAACCTTCCCTTTCTATGTTGCCTTTCGCTAGTGACGATGAGGCGAGACCTCACCGTCACCTTCCCCCACGGACGTGCCCTTGTCGAACCATGGATTTTATTTATTTATTTCATTTCATGGTCATTTGGGATATGGAAGAGAACTTGGATGCTTATTTTAGATTGCTACAACTCTCATACTATTCTCCCTTTATTCTTTTTATTGCACATCAGGAAGAGATTTTCATACAATACAAGTTTTTTTTGTTTTGCTTGTGATCATTGTTATGTAGAATCTAATGCAATTATTTTTCGTTAGTTGTTCATTTCTCATTTACTATTCCCCACACACATTCAAGAAATTTGTTTTGGTTATTAATGGTGGCCGAAAGCTTGGTATTCGAGCCTATCCGAGAATTTTGGGATTATGATTTTGCTTAGTTCTCCAGCTCTATTCTCCCCTGACACACGGTTTTGCTTGGTTGGTTGGTTTTATGCTAGAAAATTTTTACGAATTCCTAAAACCTTTGCGCATATATGACATAATGAGGACAAACTTGATCTTATGTTTAGCGGTGTTGTTGCAACATGTGTTCATCTTTAAACACCGCAAGAATCACAAGAACCTAACGCCATCCCAAAAGAACTACACCAGAGAGTGGCACAAGAGCTTAATGAACACAGTGAAACCAATCGTGCTAGGACACTACCCTCGTTAACAGTAAAAGTGATCGAAATAAAAAGATTGGCTCTGCATTTCTATGAAGTTAAATTTCAGACTAGGTCATGGCATTCACTAGTTTATATTCTGAGTCCAATGCTACAAAACCTTCTTCATCGGTTTCTGATGTAATGATGATTCTAGAGCAAATTTCAGAAGTCTTCGAAATATTCCATTACATCTACACTCCATGAAACTGCTTGAGGCTTCTATTAAGAGAGATTTTTTCATATCTATGGCACCTGAGTGAAGGGTTCATTATCTTCGCAACTTCTAAGAAAATCATGAGAGTTGATTTATATTATTTTGATTTCTCTCAAGCATAGTTTGGTCATTAATTATAATTATTTTAAAGGGTCAATTGGTGTAGTCAAATCATTGTCCAAAGAACATTTTGTGGGCGCCTTTGTTTAATGTATAACTGTTTGTTTGAACAGTTATTTTTTGCACTAATTTTGTTTTGTTTAGTGATGGTTGTATATATGTTTCTTATTGTTATGATGTTTTGTTTAGTGCCAATTCCTAGCGCCACAAAAGCCTAACTAAGTATGTAAATATCTCTTGTTGCTTCTATGTACAGAACTACATCATCACACATAAGCACAATCAACTCGACAACCTCTATGGTGATTAAACATCAGAAGGTTTTCTGTGATTGAAATCTATAGCGCGTTGTTTACACTACTCAGAGATGTGACAATGCTGGCCAAAAATTTTACAGATATCCAAAATCATTAACAAACAGAGATTGCAAGTTCTTCTAGTGGATTGATGAACCAAGAGAGCAATAGATGAGCCAGCGGACTAAAAAATATATGCAATTGGTAATACGACGATAAATAATGTGAAAAAAGTTGAAGTTTCTTGTGAAAATCTTACTTTTGTTTGATTTTATGATTGTAGTGTTGATTTTGTTGTTGCTGGCATTATATTTGTTTTGATAATGTTAATGTACTTTGGAAGGTCAAACTATAAACTGATAGGTTTTAGTTTTGTAGACAAACTTATCTTTTTGACCGATATTATATATTATTTGAATTTTCTTATGATTTGATTAAAGTTCATCTCAATTTATCTTATGCTATTGTGAGTGAAAATAACTTGATAAATTGTTATTAGATTTACCCCACAGACAAAACTTTCAACGCCGACTTTTTCAGACAATTTAAACCAAACTTTATTTGTATACTGAGGGCATTATAATTATTATATCAAAAAAATAGTGTTTATAAAACTGTATTTTTCAAACAGACCAATTGCTCTGAAACACCAGCTTCTAAACAACATATTTTCAACAACACATATAGAACTAACTTTTCTACAACCACAGTCGAAACAAACACACCCTTAGAAAAATTAAACATGGCTCGCTCTATTACAAAACCGTATTAGTTTTTCCAAGTGTTAGGGGTGTAACTGAGCTAAGTCAATTGTTGAGTCTTTCCAAGTGTTAGGGGTGTAACTGAGCTAAGTCAATTGTTGAGTCGTCTTGGGAATGACTCAAAAATTTGCTTTTGAATTAAGCTTTTGATAATTAAGATAACAAGCCCAACTCAAGCTAGTCCTGACTCGGCTTGTTAGCCTGTGCGCTGCCTCTTTTTGAATATAATTAATATAAAATATATTAAAATTAAAATTTTTATCTTTGAATTATTAAAAATATTTCAAAGATAATAATTTATATCTTATATCAAGTGATTTCTTTTTAGATATTTCCTTAATACTCAGTCTATTTATCAGTTTATTATAACATTACATTGAATTAATATTATTTTCTCACTTTCATAATAAACAAACCGGTTTGTGAGCCGGCTCAGACTCATAGAATTAAGCTCGTGCACGAGCTCGAACTTCATTAATTAATCAAGCTTGAACAAGAGATAGAAGGAGCTCGACGGATTCTTTTATATGCCCAAGTCAACCTACAGTTTTTTAAGAAGAAAACTCACAAACACAACTAAATTTATTCGACCTTAAATTTAAAATTTTATAATTGAAGTCAAAACACTCAATTATTAGGCCATAAATACCCAATAATATAA